AGAGAAAAAATGAAGTACAAGAATGCAAGAATGCAAGAGAGAGAGAGAGAGAGAGAGAGAGAGAGAGAGAGTATGAGTGAAACGAATGAAAGAAAATGAAATCGTGCACCCCGTAAGCATAAGAGAGGATGATTTAAAAACGTGTGAGAGAAAAACTGTAACACTACGTTTCTTTAAGGGGAGGGGAGGGGGCTACGCACACGCGCGTCATTATTAGCATCGCAATTAACCGTAATAAATGCTTTAAAAATAATAATGCAGATTATATCAAAGGAAAGACACAATTGTGAGAGCGAAGTAAAAGAAAAAAGGAAAGGGGGGAGGGTGGGATAATGAAAACATAAAGAGAAAGAGAAGAGAAGAATTGAAGAAGATGAATTATAATGTATCTCTCTAGCCTTTATATCGAAAACGCGAAAATATGTCATCGGACGTGAAAACTTTGATTCTCTTTTTGCGCAAATCTAATTAATACTAATCGACATGCCGAGAATGCGTTTTGAACCTTTCGATCGACCTCCTATATCGCAATTTTTTTCATTATTAATTTCGTTATTAGCTCTGCCCTTACGTCTTAATGAATCATCATCATCGTCGATTAATAGACGAAAATGATTATTATTAAATCCTTCAATAACAAAAAATAGGAGCGTGTGATGTTGTTTCGTCGATTGTCGAGGGTGGAATAAAAATGGACGAGAATAAGAAGAAGAAGAAGAAGAAGAAGAAGATGAAGGGATATATTTTAAACTCGTGCGACGATTTACCAACGCAGAGATATTATTATTCTTATTCGAAAACACAGGGTAAAAAAAAAATAATAATAAAACACGGAAGATGCTTTTAAGATCGGGACGGTAATTTCGTGTCGAACGAACGAACGAACGAAACGAAACATAATAAATATAATCGAAATAATGAGAACGAATAACAAAACGGGATGGGGAGGGGGCGGCCACACACAACACACACACACTTTGTTTTTTCTTGTGCGCGGGATGTGCGCGCTTCTTTCTTGTGCTACTAGCAGGGAGGAAGGGAGGATTTGGAAGGAAGGGCGGAAGGGAGGATGCGAAGTAAAATCAAAAAAAATAATAAAAAAGAATAAAAAGAAAAAAAAGACAAAAAAAAAAAGACAAAAAAAGGAAGGAACGAGTCAATTCTTACAAACGTTAGCAATACTTCAACACGACCACAAAGGACAGGATGAGAATGTGGGATAATAAAGTGGGGGAAATAAATAAAATAGAAGACTTAATCGAAAATATTTCGCGGGTACACTGTTGGTATTCTCAAATACATATGAGCACGTATGTAGGAATCGTGCAAGAAAATAATAATAGTTGGTATACAACGTATAAATTGATGATCTGTGGCACCGATCAGTCCATGATTAAATAAAATGGTTTTATGATCCTTTTTTAAAAACGATTTATTCAAAACTTATGAATGATAACATTATAAGATAGAGAGAGAGAGAGAGTCAAAGCAAACGTTAGTCTCGTGTTAGAAAGCATCGATCAAGAATTTATAAAAATTGTTCATCGTTCGATAATTAATGTGTTGGATTAGACAGGTTGTAACAAAAATGAGACTAGACAAGTTGCTCTTTTAAAAGATAAAAAAAAATAACTTCAAATAGATAATACAGTATCGTTTTGGAAATTCTAAGAGTTGATCGTTAGAAAATAAAAAGACTCTTCTTATTCGTTTCTATGGAAACAAATTGAAGCTTTTGAGAAAAACCAAGTATGCCCGCGAGGTCAGATTCGATACTTTGCGATTCTCGATGAT